ATGGAGTGGGTGATTTGATGTGGAATTACCCTATAGCCAAGTACCAAGTATATTTATATATTTTTATTTTAATTCAACTCCCTAAGGCCATGAAGGTCACTTCAATTCAGGAGGCTACTTTATTTATGGTTACAACCCACTCTCAACTTTATAACTCAGAAACACAAACCTTGAAAAGCAATGATGCTGCGTGTAGAAAAAAGTTAAGCGCTGTACTACCAGGGACGTGGTGGGGATCGAACATCTCAAAACAAAATAATTCTAAAAACAATTTATTTATCTAAATATAACTAACCCCTAAGCCTGACCTTGATGCCTGGCCAAACCAAACCCTCAGTTGATGTAGCAGCACTCTCTTGCTAGTTAGGCTATTTGTCAGTCAATGTATGTACTTTTTGCTCTCTATAAAAGTTTCTTACGGGTACATTTTTTTACAAAAAAATTATGCTTACGGGGACAAAAAATTATGTCCCTGTAAGTGTTTTTTTTTTGTAAAACCTGTCCCCGTAAGTGCTAAACTATACAAATATATATATATATATATATATATATATATATATATATATATATATATATATATATATATATATATATATATATATATATATATATATATATATATATATATATATATATATATATATATATATATATATATATATAGGTACCCTCGTATGCGTCCGTTTTTTTATTTTGACATCGCTTTTATAAAGTTTCTGGATTTCCGTGTTTTTCCAAACTACGCTACATGCATAAAGGAAAAAGTGTTTAAAAGCTAGCTAAAAAATAAACTGTCAATTTTTATTATATTTTCTCGTTTAAAGTGAAGATTAAACTTATTTATAGTTATACAATTTTTAAAAAATTGCGATTTTTTCACTGTTAAGGAATCCTGCCAAAATAGGTAATTTTCATATAAAGAATTTAATATACCAATATTAATGCTCATAAATTATTTTGACATGCTCAAATAAATTCTTCATAGATCTTTCATTTGATATATAATAACCGATACTTTAAAATCTCCTTCATGTTTAAAAAAGATGCATACAGTTGCTACCGCCTTTTTTCTGAAAATAATTTCAAATTATCAAAAACTTGTCTGAAATTAAAAAAACTGAACATTGGACCTCAAAATGCATCTGGTTTTAAAATAATCTCCAACAATATAAGATACTTGCATAAAAAGATAAAAATCTTTAAAAAAAAAACCTACCCAGTCATGGGCTGCTATTGTTAATTTTTTGCAGCAACCATTTAAATATGAAAGAAAAAGAAATAGTTCTAATACAAATATTCACTTAAACGTTGCAAGTGATTTAAATATTGCTTCAGACACAATGCAGAGAATAAAGTGTTTTTCATGCAAAATAAAAAAAGATGAAATATGTAGTTTACATGAAAAAAACAGAAAATTGCAGCAGAGAGTTCATTTTTGAAAAAAATCAATGACCCGTAACAAGCTTACAAACAAAAAATTAAAAAGACAGTATTTTTCACTAAATTTGTGGAAATTGAAATGTGGAAAAAAAAAAACAGTTCAGCAGAATAAGTTTCATTCTCTAGATTTCAATAATGAATTGAGAATTCTTAAAATTAGTAGAACGAAGTTGCAACAAAATGTTAAAAAGATAGAAAGGAAACACAAAATTGCTATCAAAGAATTACAGGGACAGATGAAAATCAAAGAGCAAGAAAATAAACAACTTGTAGAACAAAATCATTATTTAACTAGTATTGTTTTAGAAAAAAAAAAGATAATAGGTTACTTATAGAAACCAAAAAATTAAAAACATATGACCTACCCATAAGAAAATGTGTTTATGCTGCTATTATTAACAATGTACTTGTGGAAAGTGTCTCATTTTTGTTAGAAAAAATTTCTGAACTATTACACAACACAGAACTGCAAGAAACACCTCACTCATCCACAGTAAATCGAATGGCATATGAGCCAGGTGTTTTAGCATTGGTTCAGGCTGGTGAGGCACTTTTTCATTGTGAATATGCAACAGTAGTGTTTGATGCAACCACCATTTTAGACAAACATGTAAATGAGTTTCTTATCAGTACCTATCCTCCGCAGAGATGTTATTCCTTATCAACCACTAAACTTGCTGGAGGTACAGTATTTGACTGTGCCACTCATATTGTCAGTGTAATAAAAAAACTTGCCAATACATTTGCAGAGTTTAAGAATATGCCAGCAGTAGAAGTTTTAGATGTATTCACTCAAGAATCAAAAGTTGTCTGTCAGACAGAGCACCTGTTAATAGTTGTGTGAAAACCATGCTTCAGGAGGAGATGGACATTCAATTAATGCAACTGTACTGCAATGTTCATCCATTGGAAGCTATTGCCTTAAAAGCATTATTAGCTCTTAAAACAATAGATAATGAGTTGAAGGTAAAACCGGCTAAAGGAACTGATGGGGTTGCAGTAACAGTCCTCAAAAATATTTCTAAGCTAAGGTAATCTTTTATATGTATATCTTTCATTATTTAATTTTTTTTTTAATTTTATTTTCTTGTGAGCAATTATTTATTTATTATTCCCAAGTTTTGAAAATTTGAAATTTTAATTTTTTTGCCCTTTAAAAATCAGGTATAGTTTTAAAGGCAATCCTGCAGCATTCAAAAGCTTAAAAAATCTTAAAAAAAACAATGTTGTTCCAGGGCTATTCCTTAGATATGTTGGTAGTAGATTTCATGTTTTGTTCCATATGGCAGGGATTGTTGTTACATACAAAAGACATATAAAAGCCTTTCTTGAAAAGTAATTTTTTTTAGATGAATATTTGTTTTAATAGAATTCCATGTATTAACATTTTCTCGTTATTCTAGCAACACCAAAAATAAAATTTGCCAGCTCTTACTTCAAGATATGAGTAATGATATAACGCTTGTGCAACTGCAAGGGTTGGGCCTGATAGGAAAAATAATAACTGGACCATGGATGAGTTCGGTTTATAAAAATGCAACAGGAAAGAGTAATGTTGAGTTTGTAAGTTTTTAAGGTTTTTTAATAAACAAATAAAGTAGTTTAAAAAATGTACAAAAATTATTTTTTTATTTGGGTGACATTTTCCAGAAAGCAATAAGGAAATTAGCTTACTTCAAAAGTAATCCAGAATCAATTTTTTATACAGATGTGGATATTTTTAGTCAAGTATTAAATATTAAAAAAGATAAGGTACACCAATCCCTTCGTGTAATAAAAAATAAAAATATTTTGGTAAAGATTTTATCAGCTTTGATAAGCTACACAGAGACAGTTCTCAAAAGACAGATGGCCAGGTATTTGACTGGCAATCTCTCAAATCCATCTAAAGAAATGATAAAAACCACACTATCTGCTGCACCTCATACAATGGAGGCTGAAAGGATCTTGGGCATGCTTGATTTTTTTTTGAGTCGTGCTCCTAATGCTATTTTTGGTTTTCTGGATTCAAAAATAAAAGCCAGGGTAAACAAAACATTAACATGGCTTGATGAGAAAACATTGCTAGAACAAGAAGATCTTATTCAATTTGCAATTCGCAGAGGAGCTTTAACGTGTCAAGCCTCTAAAAATTTTAATAATCTTTTGTATGAAGAAATAGGAAAAAGATGCGCCAAAGTTAATTTTAAAAAAGAACGTTTGGAAAGAATACAACTAGAGAAGGATATTAAAAGAGCAATAGCTGAAAATGCCAAAACCACAAATCCTCTTTTTGTTAATATTGATGATAAACAAAAACAAATTTTAGGAATAATTTTGAAAAATGCAAACTTGATAGGGCAGCTCTTAAGCCATAAATGGGAGCTAGATGATAATAATACATTTCTTTTTTGGTAGAATTGTTGATCAAAAAGTAGCAACAAAAAAAAAATCTATTACATACACAATAGGATATTGGAAAGTCAATAAAGATGAAGCTGAAGATATTGACATAAGCCAGGAAGGAGTTATAGCAGATCTAATACTTAAAGACCTGGAGTTCATTTAAAAATTACTATAAAATATTAGGCATTATTATTTTTTATTTTGTTTATGTTGATTATTTTGTATGCATTTTTATTTTTTCCTTTTAATTTTTAAAATTTTTTATATTAACCAAGAGCAGACACAAGGTTATTTTACATTTCAGATACTGTACTTTGCATTATGAAAACTCTAAGTATAAGTATGTTCAATCATATGTCAAATAAGAATGATTTGCTAAAAATTGTGGTAATTAAAACTTAGGAACAAAACTAAAAAAGATAGAACCCCCCTGTCTCAAATTAAATTCACATTTTTTAATGCTCAAAGGTTATGACCATGTGAAATAACTTTAAAAGTATCAAGAATTATTGGGTCTGTTGATGGATTTAAATGTAGTATAAAATAATAAGTTAAAGTATTTTAATAAGTTAGTCCCCTCACATTTTTATGTGGGGGTACAAACTTTTTGTGGTATTTTTGTTCCCAGGCTCCAATCACTTCAATTTTTTATACAATTTTTTTTTTCACATTCTTATTAGATTTAAGCATGAACAAACTTAAATTTAGATTAATTATGGTAATTCTTTTAATAAAATGACTGGAATCGAATTTGACCCACTTTTAAAATAGGCTTAAACACCACCCCACTCCCTTTTTTTTTGTTTTTTTGAATTTATTTAATATAAGTTGGATATAATAAACAGTTTTTATCATATATACTTTATGAACTATGTTATAAAGTCCACTTTTTGAAGTCATTTTCTTGTGTATCTTTGTTAAGATGTCCACTTTATTTTCTCTACCTTCAAAATTGAATATCTTTTTTTATAGTTGGCACCAGATAAATTTGGTATAAAAATTTGTCATTTAATAATCTCTATATAATAGAATTAATTTGGTTTAAAAAATAAAAGTTATATATATATATATATATATATATATATATATATATATATATATATATATATATATATATATATATATATATATATATATATATATATATATATATTAATGACACTGTTGAAGTTTACCTCTTTTAATGACCCTGTTGAAGATTTTTCAAAAATCGCTTAAAACTATCTACTGAGATAAGATACAAGATTTAGCAAACTGAGACTATGGAAGCTTAGCATCAGACATTTTCTTGCAATAATAAAAAGATGTTTGTTCTCAAGAAAACAAACATTTAGTGTGTGTGTGTGTGTGTTCTGATTACACAACCAGATCAATTCAGGACCTCTCTTTCAAACTCAAACTCTAATGTTGTCCTTCAGGTCCGCATACACAAAAAAAATATTTTTATGTAAAGCTATCTGCAGTTGATGTTTCACTATGCCTACCTGATGACTCACTGCGTCTATTTCTAAACAAAATCAGAATATTTTGCAAAACCTATCCCTGTATATCCCAGTTTGTTTAACCCATATAAAATCCGTTTTAGCGGACGTGGATGATGTTCAACGATGGAATAAGGATTGGCTAGAATGCCTACTGGGGCAAACAGTAGAAGTAGACATAAAATGTGTCGCATTAAGGTTGTTACGGAGGTAGTTTTATCGGAATGGGAGCACAGTGGGTCAGATTGCCCATTTTTGCGCCAAAATTATTTTTTTATTAAATATTACTAAATTAGGTTTAAATAACATACCTGGAGCTTCTTAAAAAAAATTTTTCTTTCAATCAAAAATATATTATTATGAAATATTTTTTGAACTATTTTCAAATAATCTTAAAATATTTTACTTATATTCCTCGATAAATTTTTAAATTTCATAGTAAAATATTTTAGAGTTTAAAAAATATCAAATTATACTATGAAACTTGAAATTTTTAAGTTTCATAGTATAAATTTCTCAGCGTTCAAAAATTTTGACCATATAAATATTGCGACCCCCTCAAAATGAGAGGGTTTAAACTTTATATGGTTATATTTTTTAAACGCTAAAATATTTTACTACAAAAATTAAAAATTTATCGAGTAATATAAGCCTAGTTGAAAGCAGTTTTAAAAATATCTCATCAGTTTGTTTGTCCCAGACTCCAATCGTCGCAATTTTCTGCAAAGCATCCTTATTTGAAATAAGCAAAAATATATAAATGTTTGGAGTTTGCTCCATGTCTGGAAGTTAGATATCTTGAATTCACAACTCAGATCCAGAGCCAACAACTGCTCAGTGACTAACAGTCAAATGACTACAAGATCCCACAATGAACTTTAAAGATGCAGCATCTAATATGGAAATGTTGGAAAGTTATCTCAAAGAATTTCGTATTCATTTGTGCCAAAATGCAATTGAATATAGCAAGGGCAGATGTATGGAATGGCAAATTTAAGTTGAGAGGAGAGTCAGGCGACGGCAAATAATACCAGATGAATGGGTTAGAGATAGTGGCTTCTCTGCTGAAGATGAAGTAAGCAGAGTTTCAAAAACGATACTGGATCGTTTTCAACAAGAACTAACAACATGCTTTAGACGATTAAATAATCTCAATGAAAAATTTAGATTCTTGCTCGAAGTGAGAATATTGTTAAAGAGGGCTGGTGATGAAAATCAAGTAAATTTGCAACAATGCTAGGATCTGGAAAACTTTTACAGTGCAGTGGAGCAGAACTATTTACTGAAATTGCAATTTGTCAGATAATGTTAAAATTTCGTGGGGGCCCAATATCATCAACTCCGCTGTATTTACTTTCATTTATTTCGTCTTACGGAGATGACGTTTTTTCAAACTTACGCATTGCATTACAAATCTTGCTCACAATCGCAGTATCAATAGCCAGTTGTTAACGTTCCTTCTGAAAGTTAAAGCTTATTCTTTCATACCTACGAGCTTCAACGGGGCAACAACGTCTTGTTGATTTGGTAATTAGTGTCGAAAGATATACTCTAGAATCAACAGACTTTGAAGACATAATAGATAAAATTACTGCAGTTAGAGTTAGAAAGATCAAATTATAATTTATAAATAGTTATTGATTATTGGATCTGATTGGCCATTTGTCACTTTCAATGACTAACTCACATGAACAATAATTGATACGTAATTGGAAACATGAGTTAAATTGAGTTTGCAGTATGATTAGCATTTGCATTTTTTAAAATAAAACTGACATATACTTGGAAACATTAAGTGTTTTTTTTTTTACGTCTTCAGGGGGGCGCCAATTTTTTTTTATTTTTATTTCGTCAGTAAAAAAAAAGAATACAATGCCGTGTAGTATAAATAAGATCTACATGACCGGGGTTAAAAGAAGACAATACTTGCCTTATCACTACACCCCGACGTGCTTTCATAAGCAAGCGTGTACAACCATTAAAAGTTAAATATACAATTACTTTGTGCCATTTAAAAAATTATATACAATTATTTACAAGTATGTTAAGACTAGTTACTAATCTATAATCAAAAGAAAATAGTAAAAAGAAATTAAAAAAAAAAAAAAAAAAATCAAAGCTATAGATAAGCTAATAGGATAGTTTATAGAGTTAATAAGATAGTTGTTAAAAATAAAGAAAAAATAAAAATAAAAAATTTTTAAAAAGAATTTAATTCATTAACATCGCTAATAAGTTTTTGTTTCAATTTTTTTTTGAATAGGTAAAGAGAAGAACAATTTTTCAGCTCGTCACTTAATAAAGCGTTCCATAATTTAGGACCTCTTATAGCAATAGAAAATTTGGTAGCCAAATAATGCATTTTAGGTTGCTCATAATTGTACTTAGAAAATCTTGTAGGGTACATGTGATTAATTTTATTGAAAAGTGTACTAAATATTATAGGTGATATTTTATTATGAAGTTTGTACATAAAAATAAGAATTTGATAAAGGTTTAACTGAAAAACATTGAGTATGTGAAGATTATTAAATAGTTCTTTAGTATGTGTGAATCGACCTGCATTTGAAATAATTCTGACAGCATGTTTTTGTTTACTAAGCAGTTTTTTAATTTTACTTATATTAGAGCTGCACCAGGCAATGTTTGCATTGTTTATATAACAATGTATGAGGGAGAAATATAAAATTTTTAGGCAGTTTTGGTTTAAAAACTGCTTGGCTTTGAATAGTATACCAATATTTTTTGAAACTTTATTTTCTATTGTACTTATGTGTTCTCTCCATGTTAAGTTTTCATCAAGTATCACTCCTAAAAATTTTATTGATGACTCTCTAATTATTTTAGAGTTGCCAATATAAAAATTAGGAAGTTTTAGTGGAATGTTTTCTTTATCGTGAACTCTATAAAAAAAAGTATACTTAGTTTTATTTAAATTTAAGGACAATTTGTTCGCCTTGAACCATTCCGCTAGATTTTAAAGTTCTTTGTTTACTATTTAAATAAAAGCTTAATATCTCCATTAGAGTAAAATAAATTCGTGTCATCTGCAAATAAAACAGAGTTAAAAATGTTTGAAAACTTATGAAAATCGTTTACATAAATAAGAAATAAAAGAGGACCCAGAATTGAACCTTGGGAAACACCGCAATTTATTGTCATATAGGAAGATTTTCGTTCTTCGTATGATATGTATTGTTTTCTATTGTTTAGATAACTTATGAACCAATCTAAATATGTGCTTTTAGTACCATAACTTTCGAGTTTTTTTATAAGAATATTATGGTCTACTGTATCAAAAGTTTTGCTAAGATCTATAAATAATTTTCAGTATTGCCCTGGGTGCCTGAAACCCTAGCTACGCCACTGGGCTAAAACCAATTTTAAAATATCATATATCTGTACCTCAGAGGTCAACTATCGTAACTCACATTTGAAAAATTTTACAGGAGAGCAAAATGAAGTTACTACACTTCTTTTAAACCTCCAGGTTTCTAACTTTTAAACTTTCAGGTTTCTAACTTTCTGTAATGCCCACGCTTACGATATTTTACCACTAAAACAAGACGGTATCCCTGTGACAGTTAAGATAAAAACCTGAAAATTAGCAACTTTGTAGTTACGATAGTTGGCCACTGGGGTACAGATATATACTTAATAAAGATTTTAAAGTATTTTCATACCGGAGGATGTTGGAAGTTTTTTTAATTAACCAAAGAAGTAAAAATTTGCACTCAAAAAACATACAAAAATACATCAACTTTAAAGTTAAATAAAATCTCTTACTTACAAGCAAAAAACTTGCAGCGAAGTTCTGTTATTTAAAAAAAGACAAATCTATCAATATATAAAAAAATAATAGCGCATATATTTTAATTCATAAAATAATTTACAATTTATGTGTAGCAACTTATATTTTTAATTAATTTATGTTTTAAAATTTACAAATCGAAAAAAATTTTCATATTCAACAGGTCGTATAAACTTTAATTTTAATGCTAATGACTAACAAATATCATTTTATTAAAGCTTTATATGTATGGAAAACAGCTATTACCATTAAACCTACATTAAACACAATTTCTTTTTTTTAATTTTGCCACACTTTGACCCACTGTGCGGAGTCGGAACCAAAAGTTCTAAATTTCATTTATAAGTCGGAGAGGTGGAATCGGAGGTAGAGCTTTAGGAAAAAAAATGTTTAAAAAAATTTTTTTTGTATAAATAGTTACTAATTTTAAATCAAGAGATTCTAAATGTAGCATAATTTACTTAATAAACAAAATCGTAGTTAAGATATAAGTTACTTCGTTACCTTGATTTATTCATTTGTACAAATTAATATTATTATTATGGTTGTTAAGAATATTTTATTGAGAATAAATATTAAAATTATTGAGCGGTTAGTATTTTGACTTAGAACCAAGAGGTTCGAGGTTCCATGCCCGCTTATCTCAATAAGCGACATTGGTAAAGAGAAAAAAAATAACCTTCTAGTTAAAAGTTCTGTGATAAGAACGTAAGGACATTTGGAGCACAATATAAAACACGCACACATAAAAAAAAAATTAATCCGAATATCTTTTTACCGGAAATTTACTTTATACATTATATTTTTACCGGAAATACACTATCTTTTTTTACCGGAAATACACAATCTTTTATACCGGAAATATACTATATTTTAACCGGAAATAAAGAGTTTTTTCTCACTCAGCGGTTAACAAAAACTTTCAAGTCATTCTCTATCCCAGGGACGGATTTACCTATAGGGCGACTAGGCCACGGCCTAGGGCCCCCAACATTTGGGGGCCCTAAAATTTAATAAACATAAAAAGTCGAAAACTAAAAATAATGTGTAGAAAAATCAAAAATGTTGTAAAATTTATTTTTCAT